ACATAAAAATCAAAAGCCAGAATTCATGGCATACAAAAGATATGTAAAATATTTCCTGGAGATAGAGTACTTCATTGCTGTCCGACGGAATAAGTTGACTTCTCATAACAAGAAATGGGGATATTTTATGAAAAATGTTACCCAATCCACTTCACAATATGTAGATTAATTGCAATTTGTAATGTACAAACCAGGTACGTAAGATGTTAATTTCAGTGCAAACTCCAATAAAAGTTTATAAATACAAAAAAAGAGTTAAATGTTGTTTCCCATTAGAAATTCATATAAAACAAAAATTGTATTTGTTGTATACTGAAACATCGAAATAACTGTACTAATTTTGACCATAGAAATTAATTAATTAACTTTATACAAGTATCCCCTGATATATATTGGCCTTAAATAACTTATCATTTAAATTTTCATAAAAAGTAACTTTGTCAGGAAAATCAAGTGTATTTTACTTTTTCAGACTAATTACATAATGTACCGGTACATTACTCACACATAAAGTAAACAAATTAAGGGACAACATCAAAAGTTCAATGTTGAATAAAAAACTTAATTCTTTTAGTTTTTTCCCCCCCCCACCCCCACTGAAACTTAATTGATAAATATTGGTCATGGCATCAGACTACATTCACCATTAAATACAAATTGATAATCGTACAGTAGTATGGCATAGCAGTTGGTTCTAGGTCCATGCCCTGAAATTGACCTTATTTGACGCACATATTTACAACTGGACCAAACCATTCTCGTCTTGGATGTGTTTTTTTTTAATTTTCTGTTATTTTAAAATAATAAAATCGTTTTTGTAAGATGGAAACTTTTTGCGGTCAAAACCCCCACCCAAAGCTAAAGCAAATACGTTTTTTATCCGACATCGATCTTTTGACATCGTCCGTAACTTGTTTTAAAACACCAACAGATCAGACCAGACTGTGTTCCAGGTGATTTAACGGTAGTAAAGTCATGTGACCTTGCAATGACACAATGAACTTGTCATGTTTTTTTTTGTATTTATCACTTTTTAGTTAAGTTTCCTTTTAAAAATACATTTCTTGGATGCGTAACGTACATAACAATTTCTTTTCATAAAATATAATTACAGATAGATTCTTGTCTCTATGTTTGTTGACCTGGGTGTTTCTTTTCTTTTGGATTTCAACAAGTGTATTTTCTTCAAATATTCCTTTACTTTATTGTTCATGCTCATTCATTTGTATCTTGAAAGTTATCTACATATTTTCTCCATTTCCTGTTGTGGGATCTGGTTTTGTTTTTTCCCTTGGGAATGTACAATTCTATTTTTTGTATTGTTTTCACATACTGCTTAAAAACATGAAAATCTGGTTTGTTTTTTTTACACCGAGATATATATATATGTCGTTTCTCCAGCAGTACAAGAAAATTTGTGAGACAGGAGAGTGATTCATCTCCTAATATAATCTGCCAGTCCTTAAGTGTGTGCCTTAGATTCATCTTGTCATGTTACTCATGAAAGGTACAGCACTTGTTCTATTAAAAGGGCATACCCAATAGAAGTACAAACCAAAAATCGCATTTAAAGTATACTTGATCAAACATATAATGCTTGTTTTGGAAAAGAAAATACTTCTTGATGCACACTAACCTTTCCACTGGTATCTCCACAACACAGTAAACTGCTACTGATAGTATTAGCCATTCTTAGGATGGCAACCCCAGGATCATCAATTTCATATTGATCAGTCTCTTGTCCCGTTATCAGGTCAACCTCAATTAATTTGGTATGATGTCCACCTATCAGTAGTCTAGAGGCATTTCTTTGTAACATACACTGCATATCGTGAATATTTTCACCTCTGGATTTAAATAAATGTAAAAACGCATGGGTGAAATGGACACATTCAAAAAATTATATGAGAACTGTAAACTACTTAATTTTCGCTGGAGGGATGATTCAGTAAAAAAAAAACTCCAGCAAATATACCTTTATTTCCCATGATTTACATTCAACTTATCAAAAATCAGTGAAAAAAAACTCCATACAAAACACCAAAAAATCTATTCAGCGAAAATTAATTCGAGCTGAAATAAAATATTTCACAGTACTAATTTGATGATCACCAACAAATTGTTGGACATGATATGAGTAGTGTGAAAACCATTATTATGAGAAATGCTCTCATTAAGTTCTAAATATTCGTCCACTGTTTAAGGCTTCATTATTTGTGGGGTTTTATCTTCGCTTATTTCGCTGACAGCGAAATGTACTGAAAACCCATTTGTAATAAACTTCTTATTTGGGTAGAGTGAAGACACCAGTATAATACCATTTCAGTCAACAACCAACCAATGATCAGACATGTAGGTCACGATATAATAACTATTTATTAATACCGGGTTAATGAAAGCATCGTCTCGCAAGACAATCATAGCATTTGACAACTTAAGTACAAGATTACTAGCCCTTAAATAGACCATGGCTCGTAAATCATAAGGACATTGGCTTTTATTTGAGAGAGCCAATGAAATATTGATAAATGGTATATTCTAACTGTCCATTGCCATACATGGCTATGTGACTTCAAGTAAACCCTGGTTAATCAACTTGACTCTTAATGAGAGATTTATGAGTTCCTGTAGGAAGTCCAAGTATTCTAAAACTAAATAGAACCCCATATGTTTCCTGGCCTGTATCCTCTGTGAGAGTCAAGTTCTTCTCATTAAACTGTGTGTGGCTAACGCCCACACATGGACTTGCACTAAACACTATTTAGCTGTGAAAAATATCATGACACCAGTGAATATTTAAATTTAACAATAGACTATACATTTCATAAACCTGTGAATTCAAAAACTACCTGCAACGACCAAATCCAATAAAATTAGAGAATATTTCCAGAAAATATTTCCCCTTCTACAGTATGTTGATACAAGTTATACACGTATATGCAAACTATAATAGAATTGCAAGTGCATAAATTATTCAAATGTAGCTTACGTCAGTTCGAATACTCGCATACCCTGCCTGGTAGAACATCTCAGATTATCGCTTGTCAATGCTAAGACGCCATTATCAAAGGTCAGTAGCTGTCGCACTTCGTTGCTAGCATGAATTTGAAATGATGTGTACTTCTGCATATCTAAGCCATAATAAGAGGTGATATGCCCCTGAAATCAAACACACCACGTCAATTTCATTCAGTACATCAGTAAATGACAATTACGACTACCGACTTTTTAAACCACATCCCCATTAAAAATACAATATAATCCAAAAAAAGCATAAAAATAGTACTAATTTTGACCATAGAAAAATCAATTGGTTTGTATTTGAAGATGCTTGAAAGATATTATGAGGTTATTATGAGGATACCTCAAAATATGCACGAAGACAGTACAGAGGAAGTATCGAAAGGCGTGTAGCGGAGGTCATTGCGATGGAGTACTAACATGTGGGCTTTGTTTACTACGGTACTTTTAGCGCCAACAAGTCTAGATTGGGCAAAGGGCAAAGACATGCAAGATATATTGCTAAGTGACTGACCGAATAATTCTCAGAATGACTGTAACATTGCCGTCTATGGAGTTTCAATTAGTGGTATGAGCCCTGTAGGCTTGAAATGGGTAATTTTGAATCACTGGAATGAATGAAATATAGTAAACAGATTGACAAATCTATTTACCAGCTGAAATGTCCTGAAATGTGAGACTGAGTCCGTACATACGGTACATTACATTTTGTTTAATTTATTTGGAAAGTTTGCCATTTGTCACACAGCAATTTATACCATTTCAAAACTTGTCCCAAATGCGTAATGGTCTCAAGACGCACATAGCAAACCAGTCAGCATCTCAGCTGGCAATGTTGAAGATTTGGCGTCCATCAATATGACCGGGGCGGGATAGTAAAGAAATATTCCAACTGTGAAACAAACTACATTGTATATCTATCCATTAACTGTCTATGGCTACAAATGACTGTGAAGCTATGGCATGTAATTCTCAAGCAAACAAACACAGAGATGCAGCATGAATGTCATGACCATGAAAATTGAACTACTTCTTGGTCAAGACTAGAATGCTACAGATTTAGGCAGAGGGTTTTCAACCTGCCTATTAGACATAGTTCACACCCACCATAGACTCCGGTCAGTCAAAATGACTATTTTGAACTGTAGGCATTAATCTGCGATTCAGCCAATTGAACATGGTAAATATGGTTTACACTATGATCTGGGATTTATTGGCCGCTCAATTGTCTTGTATTTTAGTTTTGTTCTTGTTTTTTGCATGTACATTGTACCGGTACTAAAAACAAAGTTTATACATGTCAACCTCGAGGGAAAATATAGTCTGTCAAACATTACTGAAAATAAGAGGATTCTATTACCAGTTGTGATGAGTAAATCAGATAGTTTTGCACTACCAAGACTAAAAAAATTAAGAGTGCCTTGCTACATTATGACATAAAATATACCCCATCAATGCAGCACCTCTGTATTAGTGTGTGATCCAGAGTAACCCTGCAGGACTTACCCCTTGGTTGCCCATCCATAACAGTTCCTCATTCAGATCAAACGCCACAGAGCACACACCAAATCGGTCCCCACCATCGGCTAAGATACTACGCATCTCATGATACTCCCCCGGTGTAGTGAGAGAAACGCCGCCATTTGGATCCAGCGCTGGGTGTTCTTCTGTGAATTCTTCCACCACTGGGTGACTCTCGCCTGGCGTTGCTGGCATACTATACTCATCAGCTAATGGGGCTTCAACATGACCGCCATTTTGGCTGAACTCCTCCCCTTCGGTGTAATCAGCAGAATATTGTTCTTCCGTCTGTGGGTACTCCATTTTACAAATTAAATGTACTCAGATTAACTTATGCTTTGCAGAATTTGTTATTTCCTAAGTTAGACAATAAAGCAAGTCAGGTTTTACTGCTACAGTTGTAGCGAAATGAGTGCATCTGAAATGAAAAACATAGAGTAACTACAACAACCTTGCACATTGAATGTGGGGACCTACAATAGACCACTTTCCGTTCACTGCGAAAATCACACGTTATGCGTGAAATCAAATGTAAAAACAGAACAAACAAAGGTCATAGCATCATAGTGGCGTCAAACATCGCGTGGGATTCGACAATCGCAAAAATATTTTGGGGGCATTTCCATGCTTAATAATGTGCTGTACACATTTGATGATAGACAATTTCGATTAAGTAAGGGTATTTGAAAGCAATATTCCTCTGTCAAAAATCGGCCGGTCGATGTGAGCTACGAAATAAAGAAATTCAAGTTCAAAATCAAATTGTTCGATTTTTGCAGCAGACGTTCGCCGCACGTCTTTCATGCAACTCGGGAGATCTCGCAGTTGAAGGAAAAATCACCTACTGTAAAATACTTCATTTTAGCTGGAATTAATTTTCACTGAAAAGACTTTTTTGGTGTTTCATATAGAATTTATTTTTACTGATTTTTGACGAGTTGAATGTAAAATATAGGAAAAAAAGTATATTCGCTGGATTTTATTTTCACTGAATCATTCTTCAGCGAAAATAGCGAAAAATTAGTTCCAAGCGAAAATAAAGTATTTTACAGTATTATGACAACATTGTACTGTTTGTATAGCATATTTATAATGATTACTTGCACATCATGCATCAAGTATGATTTATTTCTTTGCACATCAAAAAGTAAGAATAAAAATCTTAAAACAACATTTTGTGTGAAAAATACTGGCTAAAATTTTGGTGGAAACAATTCTGACCAAAAATGAACAAGAATTATGAGGTCATCGTAATTATGTTGAAAAAAAATAATAAATATTCATGTTTCTTAATTAATACTACATGTACTGTATTACAAGTTATATTGTCACAATCTTTTTTTTACACACTCAGAGCAACAGTTTCCTCTATCAAACAGCATACAAAGTGAACTTAATCCCTAGATCCATGATTTGCCTCATTATGCCAACAGAAAATTGAAATGACACTCAAAGTTAATGTATTGCTATACTATTTTGATAAAATTATCAATGAGACTATTGTTTTATTTCAAGATTCTTTTCAGTCAGATTATTTATTTCGGATACTGAACACGGAACCGTCTG